AGTGGTGTTTGGCTAAGCCTTTCGGTCGGAGAGGTCGTCCGGAGGCGGGTTGGAGACCGAAGCGAGCGCTCCGGTCGGAGAGACGGTCCGGAGTCGGAAGCGGGCGCCGTTTCTCCTCGGCCAGGCCTTCCGGTCGGTGATTGGATCGCCCTTCTGGCTTATCGTTCAGGTACTTGGGCCGGCCCATGAGTTGCATGTTTGTTCGCAACGTTGTCCGTTGGGCCGAGCCTTTGTTGGGAAGCCGGTCCGCGAGGGACCCCGGTTTTATGAACCCGACAGTTGGAGTATGAAAAATGATTAGTGGGGGACTGTTGGAGCACGAAAAATGATCTATCTCCTTCAAAATGACAGTATTAAGGAACAAGAGGTTGGATTGGGAACTGCTGGAGATGCTAAAGTCGTTCAATTAAGTGGATACACGGATCAACCAGCAGGCAAAGGGTGGTAGATGGGCTGAACTGATGAAACTGATGGCCTGCAACATTAGCAACTTGACAGGCAGAGGGTTGATGGGCTATACTGGACCTACCTGCCTGCTTGCCATTTTTTTTGTTAGGAATAGGAAGGGGCCGTGGGCTGTGGCCAAGGCCATGGTGGGCTGGACCCTAGTGGATTTTCAGCCCACGGGAGATTTTGCGGGGTTCTCTTTGACGTGGCCTGACGGGCTGCTGAACCAGGCGAGCACGCAAAAGTCCGATCCAATTAAGTAAACTCCGCTGGGCATTTTTTTTTGTTCTTTCGCAATCCAGGAGCGAGCAAGCAAAAGTTTACTCACAGCTGAATGTCTGCATGCTCGCCGACTAATGCTGTCTGCTTCAGGTTCAGCACAGCAACGGGATAGATAACCCAACCCTATACTTTCACGAGCTCACGGTCCATCTCGTGCTCTTTTGTCCTCACCTGGTGCTGGTGGCGGGCGGCCGGCCGGCCGGCCATGCGGCGCCTCCTCCGACTGCAGCGCGGTCGGTGCCGGAGGTGGAGGTGGAGCTACGAAACGATCGAGAAAGCTGCATGGCGCGCCGTGCCTGCCGGCGCTGTAGCCGACGGCACCCGCTGAGCGGCGCAGGGACGTTTGCTGTTCTCCATGCTGCAATACTATGCATGGCAGTGGCAGCCACTAGCCAGGGCCCCCCCTGCGGCCCTGCCTTTTGCTGTTCTGAGAAAGATGTCAGCGTACCGTTCCCATGTGATCCTGAGCCATACCCAATCCTGGAAACAAGTAATCCCTATGTTTGCATTGCTGACAGGCTATGAAACTGTCTAGGCTGAAAATGATGCCGGTAAGAACAATTAAGGCCTTCTTTAGTTGGGTGAAATTTTGGCTAATGTAGTATTTTCGTTTTTATTTGGCAATTAGTGTTCAATCATGGACTAATTAGGCTCAAAACGTTCGTCTCGCGATTTCCCACCAAACTATGCAATTAGTTTTTTTTCCGTCTATGTTTAATGCTCCATACACATATAGCAAGATTCGATGTAATGGCCATTGTAGCACTTTTTGAGAAAACTTTTTGAACTAAACGTGGCCTAAAGCAATATGCTTCCACGGAAACATAAATGGACGGCGCCATAAGCTAACAGAGGATTGGTCCTTGTCCTGCCAATGCGCCAGTAAACCGTGGCAGCATGTGAGTTAATGACAATGCAGGGCAGCCTGCAAGGAGCAACCACATCACCAGTATGTATGTACATGTACTCAATGAATATGATTGATTCAGAAAGGGCAGAAACGACCAAAGGCGAGGCACGAATGTGTGGGGGCATATGACAGAAGCTGCTGTTGCTGCTGCTGAATTGTATTTTAAACCACTTATTGCTTCCCTCGTTGGCTCTAGCTACGGCTTTATTTAGATTGTAAATTTTTGTAATTTGGACACTGTAGCATATTTCGTTTGTATTTGATAAACTTTGTCTGATTATAGACTAACTAGGCTCAAAAGATTTGTCTCGTGATTTACAACCAAACTGTGTAATTAATTATTTTTTTATCTACATTTAATATTCCATGCATGCGACCAAAAATTGATATGATGAAGAGAGAGTAAAAAAACTTGGAATTTTGAGGCAATCTAAACAAATCCTACATCACGAAATAAAGCAGCTGTAAATCTCAAATCAACTGGAAATGAGGAAAGAGAAGCTTCTCGTCAGTACTACTTCAGAGTTTCAGACCGATGGTCCAATCATCCAATTTGTGCGTGAATGCTTCGTCATCCTGCAGGATTATGTTATGATTCCCTTTTGCAAGCAGAGTATACTCCCTCTGTCCCGTTTTGTGAGCCCCTGTTTAGTTTCACCCAACTTCCAAAAAGTTGCTATAGTATCTGTCACATCGAATGTTTGCGGCCCGTGCATGGAGCATTAAATGTAGACGAAAAGAAAAACTAATTGCACAGTTTAGTGGGAAATTGCGAGACGAACGTTTTGAGCCTAATTAATTCATGTTTAAACACTATTACCAAATAAAAACAAACGTGCTACAATAATCCTAAAATCCAAATTTCTCCAACTAAACAAGGGCCGAGTCTGGAAAGCTGCAAACTGTCTGCATTCAATGTGTCTTTCATGCACATAGACATAGACAGTGTCTAGGTCCGTAGCATCTTGGATGCATGAGCTTCGAGGCTAGAACGACTCTGAAAAAGAGACAGAGTGAGTATGCTTCACAAAAGATGTGCCTTTGTGGCTTTGCCAAGGAGGCCATCTTTAGGCCCTGTTTGGTTGGACTTTTGGCTTTGGTTTTTGTCCCAAAAGCCAAAAGCCTAACCAAAGAGGCTGTTTTTGGAGGGTGCTTTTTCAAAAGCAGCTGCTTTTCCGTAGTTCATTTTTGAAAACTGGTTTGACCCTGCTTTTGGCTTTTGGCTTTCTGCTTTTCGAAATTGGTGGAATAAAAAGCTCTTCCATAGTTGTTTCAAGAGAGATAAAGATAAAAGGTATATTTTATACTTGTTTAACCAAACAGCTTTTCAATTTTTCTACAATTTTTCAAATTGCAGCCTTTTTACAACTTTCACACGCCCACAAAGAAATTTTCTCCCACAGCCACAGCTCAACCAAACAGGGCCTTAGTTCCATGAAATTTGGGAATTTGGTTACTGTAGCATTTTCGTTTTTATTTGGCAATTAGTGTTCAATCATGGACTAATTAGGCTCAAAACGTTCGTCTCGCGATTTTCCACCAAACTGTGCAATTAGTTTTTTTCCGTCTACATTTAATATTCCATGCACGTATTGTAAAATTTGATGTAATAGCTATTGTAGCACTTTTTGAAAACTTTTTGAACTAAACCATGCCGGAGATAAAAAGATGGCAAGTGCAGTACATAACTGTAGCACCCAGACTCACAGTCTGACATACGGCCCCGTTTAGTTTCCCCCAAAATCTAAATTTTTTTTGTGCAGTATCCATCACATCGAATCTTGGGGCACATGCATGGAGTACTAAATATAGACGAAAAAAAACTAATTGCACAGTTGAGTGAGAAATCACGAGACGAAACTTTCAAACCTAATTAATCAATAATTAGACACTAATTGCTAAATAAAAACAAAAATGCTACGGTACCCCAAACACAAAAAATTTTAGATCTAAACACGCCCTACTAGTGAATTGATGGAGGCTGCAAAGGTCCTGACCTACCCAGCCACCTTATTATACCGAGACCACAGCCAGGTGAGGTGAGCACGGGTTAAAAGTTAATGATGCGAGCAACCTGCCACAACAGCACCGGGCGGGCATGATGGCATACAGGGCTGCAGGGCCGAGTGACCAAAGCTGCTCGCTGTAACTGGCTGAGCCCTGTTTAGTTGGACCTTAAATTCTAAAAAGTTGTTATAGTATCTGTCACATCGAATGTTTACGACTCGTGTATGGAACATTAAATATAGACGAAAAAAAACTAATTGCACAGTTCGATGGGAAATTGCGAGACGAACGTTTTGAACCTAATTAGTCCATAATTGAACACTATTTGCCAAATAAAAACGAACGTGCTATAGTAGCCCCAAAATCCAACTTTAGGGAACTAAACGCGCGCTCAGAATGGTCAATGGAATACATATGTACTCCTGTACTACTGGACAGTCAGACATATTGGAAATTTCGGACAATTTTATATGCATGCAGGAGTAGATGACGTTTTAATTAAAATACTGAAAGTATAGCCTCCTGATTATCACCCTGTTCGCTTGTTAGTTTTAGTAAGCCCAAACCAATCAGTCAACAGTGTTTTTTTCTTACAATAAACCAGCATCAGCCAGCCCAAACCAATCTAGAAACCAACCATCGAACAGGGTCATGTTTTTTTTCGGTGAAAAAAAAAATCAGATCAGGGACCTCTTGCTTGTATAGGCAGTATTTTCATAACTGGCGTGTGCAGGATTCCAGGTACTAGTGTGAGTGTCTGACAAGGTACTGTTAATGGTGACTACTCCTAATTAACTAGTGTTATGTAGCAACTAGCAAGGTTAGAGCAGGGACCTCCTGATCGTAGTAGGCCACAAGCCCAACATAAGCTTGGCCTGTTTGCTTCGTACACACACACATCACTATTGCACTTAACAGCTGAAGCAAGTAAAGCCCGATCAGGGTGGAGCTCACATAAGCATAACCAAGAACACACTCCCATGGAGCTCAAGTCCTCGGCCTCAACAAGAAGAGAGTAAGCAAGCAACAAACACTTCCTTTCACCACTTGCTTCTGCTTTCTTCACCCAAGAAGATCAGCAACATAGCGAGCACGAAGCTGTTTCTTCCAGCAACTATCCTCATCTTCACCTCAAGAACAGTGTCATGTTCAGGTTTTCAAAAAAAAAAAAAGAACAGTGTCATGTTCCAATGATTCATTGCAGAACTCATTCCATGGAGTAGGAGCAGCAGCAGCATCAACCGGAGGAGGAAGAAGAGGAGGTGGAAGCAGCGTGTTCGAGCCCACGTTCAGTGACCCGCTCTGCAGCCACAACCTGAAGGAGGCCTCCGAGTTCGTCCGGTCCTCCTTCCCCATGGCCACCCTCGCCAGGAGCAGCAGCAACAACAACGGCCACGGGCGCCACCACGAGGCCTCCACCACCTCCTCCTCGTCGTCGTCCTCCGCTGCGGCCTCGGCTCAGAGGCGGAGGGGAGGAGAGCCGCAGCAGCAGGCCGTGGCCGTCCCGGCGACACCGGGGCGGCCGCTGCTGTTCTTAACGAGCCCTGCGCACCACCACCACAGCCAGCTCGTCGCACCCAGGAGGTCCGTGCCGTCCAAGTGGGAGGACGCCGAGAAGTGGCTGCGGCAGTCGTCGGATTCTGACCACGGCAACGGAAGCGGTAATGGCAAGGCTGCCTTTTCCAGGCAGCGAAGCAGCGGGCTCGGACACCGAGACGGCGCCGGAGGCGTCGACGAGAAGAGGGCGACCATGACGGTGAGGAGGTCCGTGGATGCGCTCCGGGATGCCCACTCGCTCGCGCTGCACACGCCGCCGGCAGAAGTGCTCCTCAAAGGTGCCATTTTTATTTTGTAGCAGGATTTGTTGCTCTGAATTTTACAAGAAATTTTGGCATTTGAATTTGTTCGCGCACGAACGCTGAGCTTGCAAGATGCTGCTTTGTACACGTTGCAGACAAGTTCACCGACAACGAGGAGCCGTCCAAGGAGAGCTTCGTGTTCCGGAGCTCGTACTGCGAGCTGGTGCCGGCGAAGGGCTCGGCGGTGGGCGCCGACGACGACCACCAGCGGAGGGACGTTGGCACGGAGATGACGCCGCTGGGCAGCTCGTGCCACACGCCGCTCAAGAACACGTCTCCGGTGCGGCACAACACGCCGGCGAGCCGGTTAGGGCCGCTGGTGCCGTACACCGGCGGGATGGACATCTCGGAGCTGGCGGACTGCCACCTCGCCAAGCTGGACCTGGGCGCGCGGTTCGATGCCATGCTTGTCAACTGGAGCTCCAAGGAGGAGGAGGAAGAGGAGGTGTCCAAGAGCCTCAGGCACTTCGAGGCCACCGTCGGCGCCGGAGCCGCCGGCTGACCAGCTTGCGATAAACGCGGCGGCGGTGACTGCCGTTGGGATGACGATGACAGGGCCAAGAGCTGCATCAGGTGTGTGCAACACAGAGCACGGCACATTGCATAGTGGTGGAAGATTAGACATGAGATCCTGAATTTTTTATTGATAAGAAGAGATTGAGCGATTCAGATATGATTTTGCTCTGTTTTCTTGTGCTCCATTCGATTAGGTATCAGAGGAAGAGGCAAAGATCCAGGCTTGGATTAACCTGAGAGCGCCAAGGCTGAAGCACAATCAAGAAAGCTGGAGGTAACACCAAATTCAGTACCATCTTTATGCAAAATTTAATTTTACTAATTAAAAAATTCATTGGCTGCATTATTCATTAGCTGCATTATTCATTGGCTGCATTAATTTTACTAATTTTACCATCAAGAAAGCTGCTGCATTATTCATTGCCCTGCTCGCTTGTCTTATAATCCGTAATTTTCAATTTTTTTTTTTCAGCCGTAACAATATTTTCTCTCAAAAACAAATCAGCCGCAATAATTTTTTGGCTTGTTTCCAGCGGTTTAACGGGGCCTCAGAAGGCTGTAGGCTGTAGGTGCAATGATATAGGTTGCCATACTAGTACTAGGAGTAGTAGTTTGAACTGTAAGGTTCATTTTAGGAAGGAAAGATTTAGGTCATGTTTAGTTCCACCGAAATCCAAAATTTGGCACTATGCAAAAAGAAGATTCTCCGTCACATCAAACTTCAAGTACATGCATGAAGTATTAAATGTAAATGAAATAAAAAACTATTTGCACAGTTTGGTGGAACTTTATGAGACGAATCTTTTGAGCCTAATTAGTCAATATTTGGACAATAATTCACAAATATAAACGAAATTGCTACAGTGTTCACCGTCACATCAAACACTGTGCAAATGCCGAATCGGCAGCTTAACTAAACGCTGCCTTAGGTTTGTTGGGAATAGCGAACTAAACGCTGCCTTAGGTTTGTTGGGAATAGCTTGTCCCAACCCAATCTGACCCTGACTATGATGACATACTGCTTGTGGAATCAGTTGAACTGCAACCTGGTCAGAGTTTTTGAAATCTTGCAGCTCCATGTCCATTTGAATCTACTGATAATTAAATATCCTGTTCAGACTTCACATTGCACTCTGAATCAAATATTGAATCCATAATGCCCAGCGTGTCAGTAGAAACAGAAGCCAGTGTTCAGAAACCATGTGTTGAAGCTCGGTATTTTCCAAGCATCAAGAAATTCCAGAATTAAAAATCACAGAAGAAGGTTGGGATTAGACCACAGCTCTGTCATTTCCTTCTTCCTTCCTTCCTGCACCTCCACAGCCTCCAACAGAGCTAAATCCACGGCGAATTTTTGTCCGCCACCTCCGTGTCGCCTTGCTAATCCAAGTTGCTTAGAACAGTGTGAAGCATGATTGTTCATTGCTTTCTATGCAATGCAACCCCACTCACCTTTTACCCACGCGGTTCATTGGAACTCATCAGAGTTGTTTAGCTGGTTTTGTTCTGAACTTGACTAACCGTCCTCAGAGCCATGTGAAGAGCTTTGATCCGAGAGCGCGGAGCGATATCGTGCCCCGTTTGACCGTAGTTTAAGATAGAGCCATGTGCTTGGGGTTATAATGTGATGATGATCTGCGGTACTAATAATATACTAATTACCCATGCGTATGCAATGTATTACATTAGTACAGACAGGGAGTTCAAATTTTGAAAATTTTCCCTCTATGTTGCACTGCTCAAGGCAACAGTGCTGCAATGCACGACATACTGCAAGTCCAACTGGTGATCAGGTTTGGGTCAAGATCCTGACATTTTTGCAATGTGTGCCTGCCTGCTCTGATCATCAGGTGAAGATTCAGAAGATGCGGTCGAACCTGGAGGAGAAGTTGATGCGGCGGATGACGACGGTGCACCGGCGCGCCGAGGAGTGGCGCGCCACGGCGCAGGCGCAGCACCTCCAGCAGCTGCGGCGCGCGGCCGCCGACAACACCCGGCGGCTCAGGGCCACGAGCCACCACCGCCACCTGCCGGGCAGCGACGCGCCCTCCTGCGCCTGCTTCCCCTGCAGCAGCAACAACAACAACGTCGTCAGCGGCAACCTCCTCAACTATTACTAGCGCTGGTGCTGGATGTTCAGGCGAAGAACGTACTGTAACTGGGTGGGTTGCTGATGTTTTGTAGAGGGTATTTGACTGTTCCAGATGGGTGAGATCTGAGAATGGAGAGTGCTGGAACTTTAAAGGTCATACGTATAACCAGATTGCTGAATGCTGATCCATAGTTGAGACTTTTAGAGACGTGTCGAGGACTCAAGGTTGATTTTTTCCCTGCCCCTTTGGTTATGTCGAGTTCTCAGGGTATTCTGATGTCACGCCTGCAACTTCCAGACCAACATCAATAACCTTAGACAGAGCATTTGACCTTGCGGTATTCTGTGTAAATAATTTTTACTATGTGGGCGCAGCAGATTTTCCCGTACTGATGAAGTATGAGAAAGGCATGCTTAAATGAGTCATTAAAACCCGAATGTGGCGAGTTTACATGGTGGAGTATATATACAAAATATTCCTTCTTGATCTTGCCATACTCGGCAAAATATTTGCGAAAAGGCCTCTTGAAAGCTTCCACTGACGCCGATATAAGCATAGCCTTGCAAATCTGATCATTACGGAGTGGTCCAGCACGTGTACACACACCCGTAGACTGAGGCATGTAAAGCTGTTGGCTTTTGGGGAACCGAGCGAGAGACATGTGCCCATACTTTCTTGTCATACTCGGCTAATCGTACTAGACAATAGATGTTCAGTTATCTGTAATGGATGTTCAGTTATCTGAATACGTATATCTGATAAATTTTGAATATGAATATCTGATAAATTTTGAATATGAATGTTCGCGGTCCGTTTAGCTAAAATAGATACATTTGAATCTACTTTTCATGGCCTTTTATTTATCCCGATCTATATTAGTTTTTGAAAATATCATAGAATATCTAAGTGTTATCCATATCGTGAGGAATATATACACAAAGAAACTATATAAAAATTGTTTTATGATAACCGATGATCTTATCTTTAGTATTGTTAATGATGTATCCATTGAAACTATTGAAAAATTATCTCTACAATAAATAATTAATGACTAATGAAAAGTACTGAAAAATTATTTTATGTTGCGTGGTTCGTGTGGTGTGGCCAGTTATTTCATCAAAGAATTAGGACGCTCCTAACTCAGAATTAAGATTAAGATTATTTATATACTCAATAATTAGGGCATTAAATAATTAAGTAAAATAATGATGTGACATTATTAGAATTAACAATGAGAGAGAAGGAAATGTTTTACAGATAATGTCAGCCTCACTAGGTGTTTAATGTCACAATTTCCAAGACTCTCATGTGTTGGAAACATTGCAAATTAAGTTTCATCCATGTGAAACTCATTTCATCCATGAAACTTTGGTCACCTATCTCTTCATAGCATTTGATTACTAAATTGGTAGCATATTTACTAATTTGATAGCTTATTTAATGATCATAAACTATCATGAAACTCCACTAAATTAATGTCTATATAGAAACCAAGATATGAAAAGATGTGATAAGAGAAATAACAAATTTGATTTGACAAAACTTTCTTTCGAAGAAACCATCTATTTAGAGTATGCTTTCTATATGCAGTGTCTACATAACTGGACTAGTGGTGCGGGTTACATCATATACCAAAGCATTTGATATTGCTCAACTACAGAAATAATTTTTTCCACTTGTGATGTGTTTTCTGCATTTATGTGGATTACATTATATACCAAAGCATTTGAAATTGCTTAACTATAGAAATATTTTTTCCATTTATGATGTGTCTGTAGCATGCCATTTATTATTCTTTTTTCTTTTCCATTATGCTTTGTTCGATGTTTTATTATTATTTTCCTATTTATGTTATATTTTTTAATCCATAGATTTTGTTACTCATTATTTATATTTTCGTGTCTCGAAATATTTTATCCTTGATTTTGAATATTTTTTTACTGAAATTAGAATATTTGTCTTATAAAGATGGAACATTATATCTTGGAAATATTAACAAATATCTTTTTTTGACCTAGAATATCACTCGTACTCAATAAAGAAAAAACTAAGTCTATCTCCATGAGACAAATATTTGTTAATAAAAGTTTATGTAGATATATCTATGTGGAGTCATGTTTTGAATAGTTTATTAAAAAACAAGATGGTGCAATCCGAACTTATTAATTTAGATACATGGTTTAACATCTGTTGCCTTTTTTAACTTTCGAAAGGCATTATATCGTACATGTGCTGATGTGAACAAAATTTTTATTTTTTTTATATGCGTGCTTGCACTCACGTGGAAGTGGAAGGGGAGTGGGTGGTTGTTACAGTTTCATTTGGCGTTTTTCAAAGGTATTTCAGTCCACGGAAATACGAACAAAAAAAAATTAGCGGCACTTACTTGTGTCCTGAGCGCTCGGCGCACAGCGCGCCCGCCGGCCGGTTCAAGGCCTTTGCGTCTCTGCGAGTTTGCCTGCTCCGTGTGAACGAATCGGGTTAAGAGTTAAACGCGCGCGATTAGCACCGCGACCGCAGCAGCAGCAAGCGGTAACAAAAGATGGTTACAGTAAAACCCAAGCAGAGGAAGAAGAGAGGCACAGGCGCAGCTAGCTACTAGCTGCTGCTGTGGGTACTGGTTGGCTGCCTCCGACGTGGGCGACGGAGGGGACAGGTCGTCGTCGGGGCGCGAGCCCTCCTTTGACTGGGGGCACGCCCGCCGCAACCGCATGCATGCACGCGTGACGCGCCGCCGGCGGATGGGACACGGACACGGACAGAAAGCCGGACTGTAGCTGTGGCTCGTGGACCCCGCACCTGCGGCCAGCGGCCTTGAAGCGCGTCGGGACAGAGCACGGCCATCTAGGACGGTAAGGTGCTGGCCGGCAGGCCCTGTAGCTGCGCCTAGCTTGTCGTCGAGCCGTGTGTCCGTCCGTCCGTCTCGGAGGAAGGGAGAGAGCAGGGCCCATGGGGTGAAGGTTGAATGAAGAGACGAGGTGGCGTCCGTGTCAAGATGTGCAGTGCAGTGCAGTGCACCAACCGCCACGATGCATGGAGAAAAGCGGCCAGGAGAAAGCCGGACAAGGCGGCCATGGCAATCAGGGAACGGCATGGCCACCCACGCCGTCGTGTCACTGGCATACAGGTCTGGTTTGATTGCAAGTTTTTTCACTCTCTCTTCATCACATTAAATCTTTGGACACATACATAGAGTATTAAATATAGATAAAAAAATAATTAATTGTACAATTTGATTGTAAATTATAAGACTAATTTTTTAAGCTTAGTTAGACCATAATTGAACAATAATTATCAAATATAAATAAAATGCTTTATAAGACTAAATGCTAATTCCTAACTACAGTCTAAACAAGGCCACAGTAGCTATGTACGCTGCCGATCTGCCGAACTGCCGCAGCAGGCAGAGAACACGCGGCCAAACAAGGACGCCAGCGGCCAGCCTGCATTACTGGTGCTGTAGGAGAGGGTTTGGCTGTGGTTTTCGTAAATGATTGTAAATTTTCAATTAAAATATTATTTTTCTCTCACATAAACCAGCCAACAATACTTTTTTTTAACTAAAGAACGAAACGAAACCAATTTAACCGAATAAAGCTGACAGTGTCCGTCAGCCCATCCAGAAAGTCCCATGGGCGCAGGGACCAGCGGACAGCGAGCATCAGCAGGGAGACAGTGCCACCGTGAAAGTATAGGCGCAAATATATCAATGTAATCTATCGATTTTTCACGGTATTTTTCGTTTATACTTATCAACTAAAATCTATAGTATTTTTTTCTCGTACAAAATCAGTTTCAGCCGGCTTTAATACCAGCCGAACAAAGCCGGGCCACAAGCATGACAATGCAAGCGCAGCACAACAGCCCTGGACTCGCAACGCGTGTGGTGCCGACTCCACTGCAACTTTTTTGACAAACAAATCTCACCCCGTTTCATTCCTTACATCAACCGAGTGCCAAGCAGCACAGGGATCATCATCGTACAAATCACGGAAACTGCAGAGGGAAAACAACGGTGAGTGTTCGGCTGATCCAGTTTGGAAGATCTAGATGCCTGATTTCTTCAATAATGTTCTGTGAGAGATAATAAGCTGACGCTTGTTTAGTTGGACCTCAAAGTCCAAAAAATTGCTACAAGATATGTCACATCGAATGTTTATGCCCATGACATAAAGATTAAATGTAGACGAAAATAAAACTAATTGCACAGTTTGGTGGAAAATTGCGGAGATTTAACGTTTTGAGCCTAATTAGTCCATGTTTGAATACTATTTACCAAATAAAAACGAACGTGCATAAAGAATTTCAAAATCCAAATTCACCCAACTAAACAAGGGCCGAGACTACACAAGGACAGGCCGACTAGTGTTTCTAGATAAATCAGTTGCCGTCAGCCTGTTATGTCAGCAATGTAGGCAAATCTTGGCTGTTAGCCATAGCTTCTTCTTTCCTCGGGATGCGGCAACTCTAGTTCTTGATAGACTCTTTTGCACGCTGAGGTGAGGCAGGCGACGTCGGGTGGCAGTCCACGGAATACAACATCGTTCCTGGGCTTCCAAATTTCCCAGCATAGAAGCACGAGTAGGGGGGTGCAGGACCTTCTTTGAGATGTGCGGTGGAGGCTGTGTGTTCCATAGTTCCTTGACCTTGGCGATGTTGCTAGGAACCAACCAATGCTTGTCCAGAAGGTTTAGATGAATGGGCATTCAGAGAAGATGTGGTCCGCCGACTCCACCGCTGCCTTGCAAACTTCGCAGTTGCATCGTCGAGGATGTTCTTGCGGGCTGGCCTCACGGCAAGGGATCCCGTTATTCTTGAGGAGCCATCCGAAGAACTTGACGCGCTGCGGGCGTAAGTTCTTCCGCACGAAGGAGTAGGAGGCCCGGGCCGTGGTTACCACGAAGTCGAGGCTTTGTAGATAAGCCCCGACACCAGCCGGTGTCCTCCATCCTCGAAGAAGGTGAGCGTTTCATCCGGTTCCAAGCCTCAGCGTGACCTCCCGGAGCATCCGTGGAGAGCCGATCGAGTTTCTACCGAAGCTTGAGGCGCCATTCGACGCCGAACAGATCACAAGAAAGTTCCGCAAGACGACGTCGCAAGACCGTCAGTAGCACGGCGACGAGTGGTCAGAGAGGGTCTGGCGGTACCGTTTCGCCAATGGCGCAAGATCGCTTGACCAAGAATCCTTCCAAAAGTCCGCGGCCGCGGCCGTCCCCGATCGATACTTTGGTGATGTGTTGGCACGCCGAGCAGGTGTCTTGAGCGCCGCTTAGTGCGGCCATGAAGTGCACGCCAGTCCGCCCGGTTGAAATGCTCCATTGCCCGAGGGCCCAAGCCAAGCCGTCCGGATGGTGAAGTCGGTGAAGGAGCTTGAGCAACAAGCGTGCGTTTTTGGGTGTCAATACGTTTGATCCCCAACCTGTCTGCCTTCCTTGTCCTTGTAGATGTCCTCCTAGGCGATGAGGCATTTGACGCTGCTGAGGCCGTGTCCATGCCCGGCCCATAAGAACACGATCGGTGCGAGTCCAAGGCCTTGACGACTCTCAATGGCAAGCACCATGGCGCCTATGGCGTGACGTTGGTAGGCCGCCCAAAGACGGCGTTGATCAAGACCACCCTACCCCATTGTGCATAGGAGTAGGGCTTTCCAGCTGGCGAGGTACCTATCCACCTTGGTGATGAGCGGGGCAAAGGCCGAGATCGGCAGCTTGACATTGGAGAGGGGGAGCCCCATGTAAGTTTGGGGGAACTTTCCCTCCTTGCATTGTAGGTAGTAGGTCCATGTAGGCTTGTAGATCGGAGGGGGGGGGGACGTGCATGGGCGTGGTCGTGCTTTTCCCAAAGTTGATCACCAGCCCAGTGCTGGTGGAGAAGCTGTCGAGGGCGATCTTCAGGCGCTGGACACTCTCCATGTTGGCGCGAAGCAGGATGATGGTGTCATCGGCATACTGGAGCACGAGGGCCGTGCCGCTAGTCAGTGGGTGCTTGATCGCCGTGTCCGCTTTGATCATGGTTTTGAGGACGTCCGCGACCAGCAGGAAGAGGTACGATGACAGCGCGTCTACTTTCCTGAGCCCCCTCTTGCAGGTTATCCATGGCCCGAGAGCCCCATTCAGGAGCACCGCGGACTTGGACGTGACCAGGAGCTGGCGCATCCAGCCACACCACTTGGCGAGGAGGCCGCGCGCCTCCGTGATCTTGAGTAGGCTCACCCAATTCAATCAATCAAAGGCATTTGCGTAAATCTAGCTTGATCACTAGAGTTGGCGCCGCGCCAGGGAAGCACTCGACCAGCTGCGTGGCGAGGACGAAGTTCTCGCTACTGGATCTCCCTTGATAAAGCCGGGTCCGGTTCAGGTCCACGAAGCTTGGCGATCCTGCAACCGCAACTGGAGGTTAGGAGTTTGGTCGATCTTGACGGGCGCTTCTACAATGACACCAAAGGAACGCGGTGGGCGACGTGGTACGCCTCGTCTTGGGGATCAAGACGATGACCGCTCTATTTATGCGCTGCATGTCGGTGTCGCCGTGGTAGAAGGCTTGCAGGAAGAGCATGATGTCACCCTTGATGGTCTCCTAGGCCGCCGAGTAGAAACCTGGGCCGATGCCATCGGGCGCATGCAGACCGCTCCACCGACATGGCACGCACCGCATGGAGCGCCTCTTGCAATGAGCGGCGTCGGGTCTGCACGCTGGGCACCGGCGTAGAGAGTCGATCCAGTCATAGCTCGGTCAGGCCACCTCACCGCCTAAGATGTTGGTGTAGTAGGCGGTGAGCGTGGCCATCTTGTTGTCGTGGTCGATCAACAGACGCGGCCCACCTCCGAGCGTGGATTGCGTTCCGACGCGCTCTGCAGGAGGCCCTGGCGTGGAAGAATTTGGTGTTGGCGTCGCCTTCCCGGAGGGCCCGGAACTTCCCCCCGCACGCCTTGGTGACGCGCCCGCTAGGTGATGAGCAAGGCGAGCTGGCCACGACACAGCTCGCGCAGACACCGCTCACACCAGGATGCAGCACTCGGACTCCTCATAGATGTCCGTGGAGAAACACAATAAAGGAAGCATTGTTATAGTCATCTGAGCGGCGTAGCAGTGTTTCGGGACCGTGCCTTGGCACCATGGCTAAGGGTTTGATCCGCCCCCACTGCACTCACCAAATGATCCGACGGCACAAAAGCTCTAGACCAGATCGGGAGGACAGAGGGGTGGAAGGTGGGGTGTTTGAGCCAAGCGTTCTCAAAGCGGAAGCGGAAGGATTTAGGGATGGAGGTGGGCGCGGTGAGAATAAGAGGAATGTGGTCCGAGGTAGAACCGAGGCGGGAGTTGAGGTTGGAGTTGGGGAAGAGTTGAGCGAACCCCCCCGTTGATGAATGCGTGATCGAGCTTGGCTAAGGTGGGCATTGCCCGCTTGTTAGACCAGGTGTATAGCCGGTCCAGGAGAGGGAGCTTGATTAGGGCGAGGTCATCAATCGTTGAGTTGAACCTGTCTGCCAACCTTTGATCGAAGTTGGCGTTATTTTTGTCCACAGGGCGCGTGTGAGATTGAAGTCTCCAATGACAAGCCGGTTCGTGTCACTGGGGGGTGACATGGAGTTGAGGTCAGCCAGGAAGGCATCTGTGTCCCTGTGATATGAGGGGGCGTGAGTAGGCCGAGGTGGTCGGTCTGGGACGGAGCGCCTGCCGTGACGATACCAGTGTCCCAAGCAGTGAGGATGCCCCCCCTCGATCCGTCTGCGGGGACGAAGTCGAAGCCGGTGAGGTAGACAGAAATACTTCGGCTGCTATAACTAAACCGTTAAACTGTATTACTCACACTCCATTGCTATAAAAAAAACTATTTACAGTGTAGGTACATACTTCTGGACATCAATGAATTGCGCTTTCATGCCCTTCATATCCTGAGCTCTGAAAGGAGGAATACTGCAACGAGTTCTATATACTTCTATCGAACTGAACCTCTGCAGATAAATCAATCCTTCACAACCTAAGGTAGCGTAGTATTGACCAACATTACACATGTAGTGTCGCCCAGATTCGTCCAATGATCTGAAACAATCCCAAAAGCAACAATAACCAGGTTGTCTTGCTTTCCATTCCATGTCCACTGATCCTGCTCTCGGCCACCAGGCCTCAGTCTTTTTCTTCTCTTTATTGATCCTCTGCATTCATTCCCAGAAATTACTGTTTTCACCTTCCCTAGTAATTCAGTAACAGAACCGCAACCATGGCATTAAACCACCGTCATCAGACCTCATGTATGTCATTATTTGATTATTCAATCTGATTCCAAATTCCATCGCGGTGTCTTGACCATTGTAACGCCTTAGACAGTCGTCATCCAGAGCTGTTGCTTTCTTTTCGATGACAAGCTATCAAGCACATCACTTCCTCTGTAGTTCGTCACACCAGGATCAGTGCTAAACCACTGCTGATTGTTCACAGCACTTGATGATGTTGATGTTGTTTTGTCAGCAGCAGCGCCCCAGACATCAAAATCTGTATTTTCCAGGAGACCCTTAGAGGCGATCCTTGCATCTCGGAATGGTCCAATGCATTTTCCCTTTGCAAACTTAATGCAAGCCTCCTTTGCTGCCTCAAGACAAGCAGCCATCTCTCGCTCTTCACATCTCTCTCTTTCTTCATAGTCAGTCGGGGCAGCTACAAATAAGCCTTTCCACCAGGGAGGCTTGCATTCGCGTGATGCGCTGATTGAGCACCCTGTTCGTGCACCAGCCTGCAAAGATGTGGATCAGCATCTTGTTATTGCATTTCAGGCGGGAAAAGGAACCTTATGAAACAGAATCTAGTACTATGTACACTACACAAATGCACGTGTCAAATGTGAATGGTATATGCAATGCAAATGAAATATGGCAAGCTCAGTCTTTCAGGTCTGCAGGAAGTAACATAACAAGAAATACAGTCTGATCTTTGGAAAGGAGCTGAAAAGATGCAGAAACAAATCGAGCAAGAACCAGCGAAAAGCCCAAAATCATGGTTCAAACCAGACCAGTTCGGTGTGCACATCGGACATGTCCGATATGACATATTCCAAGCCAGCATAACTAGATTTGGGAGAAACTGAATTTACTTGATCATTTATTGACATGCATAGCTCTTAGAAAAAACAACAGTAAGCCATGAAATTTGACAAACTTTCCTTGCTGCTCTTCATAAGGCCACATCAAATTTGACAAACCAACTAGGTAACACGATCATTTTTTTTAGAAAAAGGCTAAAAGATAGATAAATCCCATACGAGTTCTTTTTTTTTCTAACACGCAGGACAGCTGCGTATCATTATAATCATTATATTAAGAGAACATACACTGAGTTGTGACTGCAATTATGTTTCCCATGTCAGTCACAAATTCTTGGTTTAGCCTTGATGTTATATTAGATGACTATCAATACGAGAAGCAAGTTTGCCATGTGTACTGTGAAACAGTTGTCAACCACAACAACTAAAGCTAAGTAGCCATGAGCTGGTTTGCCCTCTTTAATGTATGCAGCTGTTTTACTTACTGACTGGCAGAACTTGAGCCAGGCAACTCGGCCAGCTGCAATGTCAAATAAATAAATCCCTTGCACTTCAGGTAGGAGATAACAAGGGGGGGAAAAGGAAAATAAACTCCTCTGCCTCAGTGGTGAAACCAATGATGAATAGCATTTCAGACAAAACAGTAGTGAACATAGGTTTTCACTTAAGAAAATAATTGAGAAGATAAACTGGATAATAATAGAAAACATAACTCATCTCATTAAAAAATACAATATTTTTTTGTGTGTAAAAGCATGCATATATTCTAGCTAATGTTGTAAAAAAATCACAAGGGAGGCTGTTTTCCCAGAAGACAGGGCACTAGCATTTGATTAATAAGCCCACTAATCACTGTCAGATAAGAATAGATTGTGATTTGGCAGTGTAAAAGCATCATAGCTGAGACATGGGATAAACTGAAAACTACAATGAGAGAAAACAAAACAATGGGGGCATGAAAGGACAAAGATCCGTCCATCAGAATAAGCTCAAGCACTCAACTGATCCATATTTACTGACTCCATAACCGGCACTCCACAAAGAAAGCATCAAAACCTAAAAAAAAAAAAGGTGAAACATAGCCTGATGTTATGGAGAGAACTTCAAGCCCAACCACTGAACTACAGATGCCAGGAGATGGTTTGCTCTCTTTGTTTACTGGAAATCTGGGATAAACTGAAAACCATATTGAAAGAGAAACACAAATTTCACATTGAACGAAAACAAACAGAAATAGGGCATGGAAGGACAAAAAGCTCAAGTCCCTACCCTTCTTTTACTGATTCCATAACCGGCATTCCAGAAAGAACACATGATCACAAAGTAAGAAACCCCACAAGCAAAACAAACATAGTCCGATGTAATGTGGGACATTGTCAACCCCAACTACTCAACTACAGTAGCCAGGATCCGGTTTGCCGCCTTTGATGTCTGATATTATAGAGAAGGATCACTAAATCCTATACAATATGTTCTTAGTGTCAACTGTGCTTGCCACTTGTCAATCACACTCTGTTTCAGCCTTGACACATAAATAACATTAGATGCCGATATTGATACAAGAAGCGGATTTGACATGTGTACTGTGGAGCAGTGTCAACCACAACAACTAAAGTTAAATAGCCATGAGCTGGTTTGCCCTCTTTAATGTATGCAGCTGCTATACTTACTGACTGGCATACTTGAGCCAGCCAACTTGGCCAGCTGCAATGGTAAATCAAATCCTTTCCACTTTGGTAGGAGAGAACAAAAGAAAAACAAAAGAGAAGGGAGGAGGGCTCTGTCTCAATGATGAAATCAATGATCAATAGCATTTGAGACAGAGAATAAGTAAAAATAGATTTTCACTAGAAGAAGAGAACATAAGGTGCACATTCTTGGGAAGCTACATTGAAGAATAAGAGAAAACATAACTCAGCTGATTAAAAGTTATTATTTTTAGTGAGTAGAACCATTTATAGTGTATTATAGTTAAGGTTGTGGAAAAATTGTAGGGGAGGCTGTTCTCCCAAAAGACAGAGCACTAGCATCCAGTTAATCACCCAACAACTAATCATTGTCAGACAAAGTCAATTGTGATTTTGGTTTGGCTCAGTGTGTAAAAGCATGATAGTTGAGACAGCTGGGATAAAGTAAAAACTACATTGAAAGAAAACAAATACAAATGGGGGCATGGAAGCACAAAAACCCGTCCACCTGAATAAGTTAAAGCACTCAACTGGTCTACGTTTACTGGCTCCTATTCCACAAAGAAAGCATCACAAAGTACAAAGTATAAACGACAAGTGAAACATAGCCAAATGTTATATAGCACTGTCAACCCTGACCACTGAACTCCAGATGCCAGGAGGTGGTTTGTTCTCTTTGTCAACTGGGATAAAACTGAAAACCACATTTTGAAAGAAAACAAATATAAATGCAATACTGAAAGAGGATGAATACCAGCCTATCTGAATAAGCTTAAGTGCTCAACTAGCCTTCTTTACTGATTCCATAACTAGCATTCAGCATTCCTCTCGCAAAGTAAAAACCATAAGCGAAACAAACATAGTCCAACGATTATGGGGCATTGTCAACCCTAACCACTGAACTCCAGTAGCCAGGAGCTGGTTTGCCCTCTTTGATATCTGCAGCTGCTAAACTTACTGCTTCGCATGACTAGCGCGAGGCACCTCGGCCAGCTGCAATAAGGAGACATGATCAGTTGACAGGCACAGGTTTCCAGCTTTAATGGCGCCATCGACACGCTCCAGACAACTGAACAATGTAAGCTACACGCTAAATCTATTTCCATCCTACTCGCAATGCTGCATTTTTAGACTATAATCATGACCTTGCATTGCTTCACGCATCAGAGTTCATTGCTTTGCCAACACAGATACGACCGAGGAGGGGAGACGGGGTAGTCAGGGGCTCGGGCAGATTACCTCGCACTGGGAGACGAGGCTGGCCTCGGCGACCTCCCAGGCGGCTCGCCAGCTGGCGGCGTTGCGGAAGGCGAGGACGACGGGGCCGTCGCCGGAGGCCGGGGAGGGGACGGGCGCGCGGAGGAGAGGGAGCGGAGGGTCGAAGCGCACCACGGTGGCCGCCGCGGAATAATCTTCCGCCGAGTCGTCAGCGCTGCCCGCGAAGGCCATCTCTGGAATCGCCGCCAGGCGCCGGCGGACGGCGGTGGCGGCGGGAGGCGTTGTGAATGCTGGGCTAGGGTTTGGCAAGTGAATTCTTGGAAAGTCCCTTGGATTGGGCCTGGGAAGTGGTAAGGGTTAGCTCATTCTCTTTTGTTGGGCTCTACCGGGCCCTGCAGACTGGTTTCTCCATCTCCAATGTATTTGTTGCTCAAAAAAAAAAAAAAATCTCCAATGTATTTCCCTAAAAAAATATTTCTTTTTATTTTAAAGACTAGCAAAAATACCCAGATATTGTTACGGGATGTATAGTTTATATTTATAGTCTAGTCACTCGGACGGCATGAAGTTTAGAAGATTTGTTCAACAATCAAAGGTTGTGCGTTCCCATTCATCTTGGAATCAAACTCTATAACATGTCCGAGACACGCTCTACTCAATTCATATAGGTAAAGGACGTTTGAAGTTTTATCCAATGATCAGGTCATGCATTTCAATTTGTCTTGCAATCGAACTCCCCACCGTGTCTTAACACAATACTCTAACTCATAAAATTATGGGAGAGAGAAAATGATAACAAAAACACTAATATTTACTCAAAATGTTTTATAACCCTAATTTCCATTTTATCTAAGTGTTGGTATAGTTAAATATCAAGTTTTTTTTGACTTACTACGAGGACTCATAAAAATCTGTAGTTCATCTTATTAAGTCCAAAAATATTTACTTGTAAATATATCATAACCTCAATTTCAATACTATCCATGTGCTAGTCGTCATCATCATCTCATCACAGTATAAAAGAGCGAGTTTTTTAGGGTGACTCTCCATCTAGAATAACCGTTCGATCTATATGTCGTGCTATATAAGTCCTCCGTCATACGTGATCTTACTCTTTCTCTATAACAACCGTTTGATCTACACATCGTGCAATATGAGTCATCCGTCATCCGTGATCTTACAATTAAGATGTAAGACTCCTATTCAATCTCAAATACGTCTCACGACATGCAAGACTTTTTGAACTGTGACTCCTATTCCAAATATACTGATTTTTTTTTCTTTCCGTATTTTTTTGAGAAACTTTTTCTTTTCGTGCATATACAGTCCGCTCGGCTTCCCGTGCAAATTGAAGGCGCCTCGGACAGAATCCTTCTCCGATCGAACGTTGCCCCTCCACGTCATACGCGTTTCTCCTTTACCTTCTTTTGGTTTCCGTCTAAACTTATTATTATGGGTATTTGAACCATTAAGCCTTTCATGATAAATAAACATTTTAATCACTAATTGTTGATATAATTTTAATTAGTAATAAAACTTATTATTATTGAAACCTGGATCAGCCGATGGTCTAACCCTGCACTGAAATCTTAAACAGTTTGTCATCGAATCTAATCAAAATTAATGTATCAGTGCAATCATTGATAAATAATAATGAGGGCTGCCATGTGAAAATTGAGAAAGGTCTATTCCCTCCGTTCCATAAAAAGAGTCGCTATGAGACTCGTGTTGGTCAAACTTTTTTAGGTTTAACTAAATTTGTTGAAAATATTAGCAATATTTGTATCTCCAAATAAGTTTATTTACGAAAATAAATTCAAAGATCTATCCAATCATACTAATTAGGTACCATAAATATTAATATTTTATTATATATATTTAATCAAAGTTAAAGATAGTTGACTTCTCGAAAAAGCGAGAATAACTCTTTTTTTAGAATGGAGGGAGTATGTCATAATCATCAACGGACAGACCAATCTTCAACAACTAACTCTTCATTGACTTTTATTTTTATATGGGTCCTCGAAGAAGTCCCAGAACTCAATATCTAACTCACCAATACATGGTTAGTATGAAAATAAAAGTTACGATATATTCGCAAGTAAATGTTTTTTTGGACGATATATTTATAATTATATACGCCTAGATCCACCACTAATGATGGAACATACTACGACGACGATGAACTGGGGCCTATGACACGGGGCGCAACCAACTGGTCGCTCGGCGTCATGCATGCATATGCAATGTGTACTCGATCGATCGCTAAATCATCAAATTAATAAAGCACCACTTGGTGAAGGTTAGGTATTTCCTTTTCTATTCTTATCCAATCTTCGTTATATTGCTAATTGGTAGAGTTCTTTGCTCATATATATAGATACATATTTTTTATCCTAATTAAGCTTCTGGACACTATTGATTTCATTGTTGTCTTTACTGATATATGCATTAAGAAATAAGGAATGGAAATTCATGGAGTCTGAATCTCATTGAAGCTAATGATTTAGTCTTTCTAGGGTAATATTAATTGTGTAATGATGTTTTTGATAAACACGTGCGTGCCGCACGTGCATATTTGCTAGTATAGTTAAATACCAAGTTTTATGACTTTTTAGGTCTGTGTTTAGTTGGGTGAAATTTGGGAATTTGGCTACTGTAACACTTTTGTTTTTATTTGGCAATTAGTGTTCAATCATGGACTAATTAGGCTCAAAACGTTCGTCTCGCGATTTTCAACCAAACTGTGCAATTAATTTTTTTTCGTCTATATTTAATGCTCCATACACGTATCGCAAGATTCGATGTGATAGCTACTGTAGATCTTTTTGGGAATTTGGTTTTGGAACTAAACGTGGCCTTACTTTGAGGACCCATAAAATTTATGATTCATCTTATCTTATTAAAACTAGTAAGAGTTTAGTTACTAACATGTCAAGGTAGACGCAGCCTCCAAGCATGCTCCACCTTGAGCATATCTCCACCATGCCAATGTTGTCCACTCGTTGATTTTGATCTCTCTTCATGGAGTGTTCCACCATGACTCCGGCCGAGGTCAAGGTTGAGGGAGACACGCATTTAACAGCAGAAAGGCCAAATCCACGCCAAGACGTGTGAATCCATAGTAGGCGGAGCGTTGGAATTTTCATCCATCCATTGAGCATGTTCCTCCACCACATCGACATTCTCGCTGTGCATAAGCCAATGGCAAGACCGCATGGCTTAGTTCATCTAGAGCCTAACTGGTTCGAGTACATGTATGGGCCAGGATGCGCATTAGAGCCAGGCTGAATGCAGACAGGTTTGCATACATGTATGGGCCATAGAGGTGGATCTATGTACATACAGGGTGCGGGTGCACCCACAAAAATATCAAAAAACAGTGAGTATTGTCAGATTTTTCACCATGTTCGCACCCATATGGTACAATCCTATGCACCCATAAGGCAAGCACACCCCCTCGTATTTGCTCTAGCTCCGTTCCTCATGGGCCAGGTACTTCATCTAGAATGACTTGCCATTCTTCAATCTCATTTTTGTTTTTCGTTTTGTTTTGAGACATTCATTGAGGTAGAGATTTGTACAACATACTTTTGTTTTTATTTGTCAGATTTCTTTCTTCCCTTTTCGTTTACTTCCCCCTTTTTTATGGGTTACTAGTAGAGAAACGACTTTTGATCCACTTCAAAATTTGGCTTTAGTCCCGGTATTTTTCGCGTCCGGGACTAGAGAAACCTTTAGTCCCGGTTGGTAGCCCCAACTGGGACTAAAGGTCCCTGCCTAACGGCCATCTTGGGTGTGCTTTTTGTCATAGGGGACCTTTAGTCGGTTGAAGCTACCAACCGGGACTAAAGGTTAACTTTTACTCGGTTGGTCCCTCCAACCGGGAGTAAAATCTACTCCCTACTGGAGGCTCCGTTCGGGACTAGAAAGGGACCTTTAGTCCCTGCTGTCGTTCTCCAACAGCTTTATGTTGAACGCGGGACTTCCAAAATTTCCTTGGCAAAATTTTACCGCCTCCAACAGTTTCTCGCTCCTCTTCTTCATCCTTATCTTCTCAACATCCTCACGCCAGTGCTGCATCTCATCCTCTCTTCAGTCTTCACTCTCTCTCTTCAATCTCCAATCCACCGGATCTCCTTTTCCAAGCCGTGCGCCATTGTGCGAGCCGAGAAGGCGACGACGTTGCGACGCCGGCTTACATGGCGGACCGGCAGTCCGGGCGGTGGCATCACGCTGGCCTAGGAGCTGTGTCTCCAATGAGTTCGTGGGCAAGCTCTTGCGGCAATGGCACTCTAGGTGTAGTGGATCTAGCTATTTGCGGCCAGTGATGATGCTACTGTGGTCGCTCTCACGGAGTCCATGCATGCGGCGCTTATGGCAAGTCGGAAGACAAAGCCCCGTGGAGCCTTGAAGTCGTGCTTGGATAAGTGAGGTGAGTACACCAAAAAATTCCTAATCTTGTTGGCCAAAACTTTGAAACTTTGTTAGAGTAATGTATTTTTCCTTTATATTCTTGTTGCGGTTGCATAAATGAATGAAACATTTAATGGGAAGAACATGAAAGATTATTCATTTTTATGGGGAGATTGGTTAATTCTTTGCGCTAATCCTTCTATGCAGATTGGTCAATTCTTTAAAGCGGGGATGCATCAATGGATTCCGATTACAGCCGATGAGCTCATAACCCACAATGTGTTTGCTAGTAGTTGTTTCAGATGGCCAACGACGGTTTTTGGAAGTCCGGTTGGTAATACCAAAACGAATCATCAATTAAAATAGAAACAAAAAAGATAACCTTTAGTCCCGATTGGTAATACCAACCAGACTAAAGGGCCGCCCACATGGCTGTGCCGAGAGACCTTTAGCCCGGTTGGTAGGTATTACCAACCGGGACTAGGTGGACCTTTAGTCCGAAGGAGAAACCGGGGCTAAAGGAGAGACCCTTTAGTCCCAATTCGTGCTCCCGGTTGGGAAACCAGGATGAAGGGTTTCCCATAGCTTGTTTTTGTACTAGTGGCTTCAATGAGCTACAATTGACTCCATATTGACCCCCTTCGGATTGGATAAAAAAATGTAAAAAGGAAAACTTAAAAAACGGATAAAACAAAGAAACTCCTCACGGTATATGTATTAAAATAGGATACGAAAGGGCCTTTAACTTAAAGGCAATCGAAAACCTTGTGCGCCCATATATATATATATTTATATAAGCATGTTGTGGACATACG